AATCAAATCGTTCGATTTTTGCGGCAGACGTTCGACGCGCATTTTTCATACATCTCGCGAGATCTCGCAATTGTACGGAAAATCCCCTATTGATTACCTTATTTTATGTTGAATTTATGAAAACCAAATAGAAAAAAGGATTTTTACTGATTCAACTATTCAGAAAAAATAAATTAATAAGAAATGCAAAGATCGCTGTTTTGGTTATGACAAAAAAGCCCAAAGGGTTATGACATTAGACTTACCTGAGAGCCATTTGAGCACATGCTAACCCACAATCCCACTGTGTTTGTTGAATTACATGTGGTACTGGAATATTGACAGACTTGCAGACGTCTGTGAAAATATTGATATATACATTTTCAAGAGAGCACATCAATATACCGGGGTATGATACAGTAAATTTGATAACGTATACATGTAGGTAGTGTTTGAAGTTCTCAAAACTGTGTACCGGAAAGATTATTTTCAAATACTGTTGCTTATTTTTCTGATAGATAAGGCCATATAAAAAATCAGAATGGTTCTGATAAATCCACCATACTTGAAATTAGTTTTGTGAATGCGGTCTAAACTATTTTTGGCCAATCATGAAAAATCGTACAAGATTTCAGTTCTATTATGCAGAATTCTGGCCAAATTGGTAAGACTTCGCTGTAAACATCATTAGGCAGTGGAAAAATTCTGATGATATACCATATTTATTCTAGATACTACTACAGCGATATAGTAAAACCCAGGAGTATATCCAACCAAACAAACAAGACTATTATTTGTGTTGAAAATTACGATTTTCACATTTATTTATTAATTGATGAAATTCACGATAAACTTTCATCTGACAAAGTCAACGTAACCTAAAATGTCAAGTAAGTTGGTTAAAATGTAGATTTTCTGAAGGGAAGCAAGGCAGCTTCAGTAGTGTTTTATAAAATCAACAACACAGGTTTAATTTGTGTGCCTATAAGTTTCAAAGATTAACTCAAGACAAAGCAATGTTAGGATGTGTTATCAGTAGCTATCTGACACACAATGAGTGTTCCCAAACATTTGAGTGGTTTGTCTCTGCCCCTGTTTATTTCACAGATTAGTCATTTTCACAGCTTTAAGGTGACAATGAGAGGAACTTGAATGTGTCCAGACAAACTATTTCATGGATTATTTACCAATGTGTTGTGGTTTGAGTTGGGGTCAATGCGAATAAAACAGAAATTAAAATTCAGGACACTACTTTTCAAAACGCGTTACTTGAATAAAACTGTCCAGACACATTCAATTTACCAGACTATTGAACAACTAAGAAAAGTAAAAACAAAACTTCTTATCACCAGCATAAATGCGTAATTATTTTTTTTACAAAAAAGTAATTTTTCACTTTTGATTAAGTAATGCACCGTAGAATGCAGATACAGGCATGACAAACGCACTTTTGAAAGCTTGAAGTCTGGCGATTCCAAAAATATATA